CGGGAATCCATTTCCTTTTTTTGTCTTTACTGATTCTGAAAAGTAATGATGGTGCGTTAAAACGTAGTGATTGATGTTTCGCAGCATGTGATTGAAATTTTCGGGAAAAGCAGACTGAATACAAACCCCTAGCTAAACAGAAAACAACTAAACCTTTTATGCTGCTTATCGAAACGTAGTCAGACATAAACAAGAATTCTGGGATGGGTATTACTTAAGGAGAAGGTAAGAAATCGAGTGGGACAGTCAGCCAGGCTAGTTGTCTTGAAATTTACCTTTGCCTGCATCCCCTCTGACCTCGCCCACGTCCGCGATCTTCTGCACTGGCTGCTTCGAGATCCAGACCAGTTTCACTGGAGCCAACTCTAGCTGAAAAAGTTTTGATCGCACTTATCTGCAGCATGCAAGAAAAGGCTTTTTTTATCGTTCAAACTGTCATTTAATGCCCTTTATTAGTCGACTTATTGAGCTATTATGAAAGTGCAAGTGCATTCTCCTCATCAGTGTTTACACTTCAATGGAATAAGTAACAAGAAACAAAGAAACGGCTGAAATAGGTGCTCACTTGAGAATTATCCTTTCAAAATAAATTTTTTTTTGCTTAAGGAGCTTCTGATATTTCATCAAAGCACTGTTATGAAACTGAACCTTGTTCGTCGCCGAATCCGGCTGGAAACTCACTACGGGGATCTTGGCTAACCGTTATGCGCGTTATTCGCATTATGAATGGAAAATTTCCCTGAAATGCGCGTTCAGCTTAATAAGTGCTGTGAAACGTGCGTACTACGATTCCGCACCAAAATATGCTGTTGTGCAAGCGGTGCCAGTCCTAGCAAAGCCCAGATGGAAAAAATATTCACCATCTATGGCCGTTCGAAACAAAACTCAGCACAGAAGTAATAAATTTTGCCGTGAAATTACGAGCCAGGTTGGACATTAACAAATCTTGGACATTAACAAATGCTACGACCCTGCAACAAAGTCGAAAATCTAGAACTACGCCCGGCCGGAACTGTTAATTTGGCGACACAGTTTAACATCAAAGCTGAATTCACTACAACTTGCCTTTTACATCAAAAGGCACCACATTTATAATACACGTTCTCCCATTACTAGACACGCGCCCCAGTCCAGGAAGTACCAATCTAGATCAGTCAAGAGCCCTTCCACGTGTAACAGCGAAGTCCATC